ATACAGCGGCGCCTACACCGTGTTTCCTCCGTCGTCCCTGTCGTTGGGGTTGGCGAACGGGCACATCTGGGTTGCCTCAGATGGATTGGAGGAGGAGGGGGTGTTGCCGCCGCCATCGGCTGCGGTCACATGGAACATTTAGAATATGCTGCTAGAAACGACGGTGGTCGGTGCTGCTGGCATCGCCACCAGCGTGCTGTGAAAGGAATGAATGTGAAAGGAATGAAGCGCTGCTTCTGAGAGAGATGTTTAGGTAGGAGAAATTGGCCGAAATTGTGCTGGTACCAGTGGCAGCTATAATACTTATGTGGGATTGGTGAAAAGACAAAAATGCCCTTCAAGTTGACGGGGATGAAAAAATCGGTGAAAAATACGCCGGAAAGTTTCATTTGGGACAAAGTGCAACTATAACAAAATTTAAAAGGGGGAGACTCCCATTTTGAATTTGTAGGGGGAAATTGCGAAAACTATAAATTTCTATGGGGCGAAGTGCATTTTGTCCTAATAATAAGGGTAAATTACGTCCAACCCCCTAAGGTAAGGCCAAATTACAAAAAAAAACCCTCATGTTTGGGTAATTACAAGCACCCCTCAACTATGAATCTTCTTACATTTCTTCCTTGTTTAGTGGAATTTTCTAGATTATGTGGAATATTCTCCAGTTATGAAACTGTTATGAAGCTTAGAGTTTCATAATTTGTAATGAATAAAATTGCAAGAAAACAATAAAGGAACCGAAGGATAATCAATGAAAACGTTGGAAGTGTATTTACGTTAAGGAAAGTTGAACGATAATATTCTTAAATTATTTATTCGGGTGGGGTAGTTCTCCTAGCCCAACTTGAAGTCGAGTTGAATTCTTTAACTACTCCATCAATTCCTTACGATAGACCCGATAAGAGGTTCGTTAAGACTACCACCGGTTACTGCAACAGAACTAGTTGGCTCTGGTCGGCTTAGCGAAATAGTATCCTGGACTACTTCCCAAATTTCTTCTCTTGGTCTTCGTTCTGCTTCAACTCCTTACTCCACCACTTCTCAGCTAAAACGAGCCCGGTGAATCATACATAGCATAGTGTTGGGTGCTAAATACCAACACGCAAGTGTACGTATCGCAAACAAGTAGTAAAGTAGACTCGTGAGAGTCGGATGTCGATCCCACAGGGAATACGCAAATTATTTAAGCCTAAGTACCAAATCCTAACAATTGTGATTTTTATCCAGCCTACGCAGGGTTGTCAAATTAATTAACTAAATAAATTAAACTAATTAAGAACGCAAGTAATCACGAGAAAAAATCAATAATAAACGGATCTAGGATTTTATCTTCCCCCTATGCGATAATTCTTCACCCAATTAATTTCCTATCATGCAAGTTACGATTCCCGATTATTAACCCAAGACACGAAATTATTCATAACCAGCTGTCGCTGCGCTATAAACCTATTATTCATAAAAGATTCACTATATGTCTATGCAAACCTAGTATAAATAAATCATTAAATAGCAAGTCTCGCAAACGGCTACCTAAGGTATTATCTGTATGTCTACGATAATACATGCAATTAACACACACATTCGGTGAAAAACTACTCGAAGGCTCTTCTATCCATGTTCAAATTATTAAAACGATCTGTCAATCAATTCTAACAATAACAAATAGCAACATAAGTTAGCTACGCTCATGCACTAAATACGATCAAGATAGAAGAAATAATCGAAGAATTAAACTTGCATAAAAGTAGAAAAATAGGTTCGAGTTACCACATAGGGTTCCAATAAAATCCTAGAATAAAAACTTAGCTACTCATGTTCGTTACGAAAAGCATAATAAAAATACGAAAATT